TCGTTAAGTTCTGCTTGCTTTGTTTTGAGCTCACTTTCTATTGTTGTTGTGTATCTCTCTTTTAGGACTTTTTCCAACATATTACATTTTTCTTCTAGGTGAGAAATATTTTGCAGTCGGCTTTTATGTAGGTGGGAACTGAACCGTATAGCATTATTTCGTATAAAACCCTTGATGGTGGCCCAGACCACCGTCACATCTGTGACGCTATTCTTATTCAAGATTATAAATTCGGTCAGTTTTGATCTCAATTGCGATATAAATGTGTTGTTCTTTAAAAGGGTTGTGTTGAACCTCCATCTAGTAGCCCCATTTTTTATATTTCCATAGTTAAAATTAGCTAAAATTGGGTTGTGATCCGAGAGATGTCTGGGTAGGAACTCAATTGACTGTATTGAAGGCATCAGCCCAGAAGATACAAGAATGTAGTCTATTCGAGAGAAGGTTTTATGTCTCGTGGAAAAAAATGTATAATCTCTCGCAGATGGATTATGCACCCTCCACACATCAATTAAGTTTAAGTCTGTTATAAAGAGATTAAGTGCTTTGGAAGCAGATTCTTGAGAACTTGATAGAGTTGCAGCAGATTTGTCAAGGTTATTGTTTACAAAAGCATTCATGTCCGACCCAACATATAATCGGTAGTCATTTAACTTCAGTAACTGTGAAGTAACTGAGGGAAAAAAATCAGCTTCAAATACTGTCGGGGCATATATGCTAACAAAAGCCACTTTTTTACCTTGAATAGATGTGCAGCAATAGGCTAGACGTCCTTTATTGTCAGAGCCAATCCTTTCAATTGATACATTTATGTTACGCCTCATAAGTATCATAGCTCCTTTAGTGCGAGTGCCATCAGTTGATGCCACAATAGGTTTATAGAATCTGTTTTGAACCCTTGCAGTGTCATTAGGTTTAAGGTGTGTCTCCTGAAACATTGCAACATCTATCTTCTTTCTGCGCAAGAAATCTAAGATTTTTGAACGTTTATACGGAGAGTTAAGTCCTCTTACATTAAATGATACAATATTCAAATGTTCCAATTTATCTGTATGTGTATTTATTCCCTGGACCTGTTGTGAGTTGGTGGTGGATCCCTGAGTTACAACCCTCCCCTTTCCCCCCCCATTCGACCCTCTTCTTGGTAACATCTGTGAGCGTCACTTAGCTACGTCTAACACTGAACACTGATTGTCCCCCCCCCCCCCTTGCATAAAGATAAAGCATAGCAGATCTCACAAACAGTAAAACCCCTTTTAAACCGATCAACCTGTATCATTACAACCATCCCCCTCTCGTTCTCATGAAATGGTATAGCCCATATACAGACCGTTGCCTGCCGATGACGTCATACATATCACGCGCCCATGAATGTAAACAGTGGATGCATGAAAAAGTTTTCAAAACACGCCTCCAGCTTCCCAAGCCTATTCCGTTATAATGTACATTATGTATGCCGCATATAACTCGAATTTAAAGTATATAGTATGGGCGGAATATTACCTTAACACCATATAAACATGGCAATTAAACAATAACATTAGAACTCTTATCTGCAATAATTTGAAAATAAACTGGCCCCTATTTCAACATATTCAAGTATCGAGGCTTACCGAACATTGTCCAATATAAAATAAGCATAGAACATCACCTACATATCGTCTACCTGCCCATAGGTGCCAGACTTTCTCTGTCCTTATTGCAGATCCATCTCCTCCGTTGGCACAGGTAGCGTATTCAATGTCCAAGATCTTCTCGCATGTCCACCGTTGATTTAAGGGCTTCTCTCGCCTCTTCTGCCGAGTTAAATGACATCCTCGTGCCCTTGTTGTTCACTTTCAGAATGGCCGGGTATATGATGAACGAGTCGATCCCCTTCTGTCGAAGTTTAGTGCGGATCTCCTTGTATTCCTGTCGCTCCTGTGTCGTACCGGGGCTGTAATCGGCGAAGAACAACAGCTGTGTCCCGTCTTGGAGAGTCGGTCTAGCTTTCCTCGCGCCTTCAAGAATGGCCTGTCTGTCGGTATAGCGTAGTAGTTTGAGAACCATGGTCCGCGATCTTGAGGTGTTGTTGGAGAAAATACGATGTGCCCTATCGATTTCCAGTGGATTATTGTTGGGGCTCTTGATTGAAGGTATCCAGATAGGCAGCATCTTTTGAAGGTAACCCCTGGGATCATCGCCCTCAACACCTGTTGGTAAGTTGACAATCCTTACATTGTTCATTCTGGACCTGTCCTCCAATTCATTGAGCTTCCTTCGCATCTTTGTCACCTCCATGATACACGTGCTAGTTTCCTTCTCATTCTTGCGCACGGCAACCTGAATGCTCTCAATCTTATTGAAAACGTTGTCAAACTTTTTTGCGTGACCATCAGCTTGTTCTTTTAATGACCGGAGGATGTTGCCGTTTTCGACCAAGTGCTTCTCTATAGGATTGAGAGCCTTCTCAATCGCACCCTTTAGCATGTCTGCTATTGTTCCCTGCAGAGTTTCCATCTCATCCGCGATAGCTTGCTTGATTAGCATAGCTATATCGGTGGGTGAATCGCTAGCTTGCTGTGTTAGATTCTTGTTTTTTAGTCGGAGTCTTTTCCTTCTTTGCTGGAGACATTTCTTTTCTCAAATGTGTGTTATTACTGTCTATGAGTTGCAATAAATAGGAAAAAAGGGGGGATTTTGTTCAGCGCTCAGTATCTTGCTGCCATCAGCCTCGTGCCTCACCGGAAGTCCATAAATACATATTTAAACATTTCAATTAGTCTCTGCATATTTAAGTAATGCTAGTTTATATAACAGATGAACAGATGTACAATATCCAGAAAGTAGATGCAAACAATATATATAATGTGTTTCCAACATATCCTCTGAAAGAGTGTTAGTCGTTGAGTTGAGTAGTGAGCCATTCGTTTTTTTTTCGTGGTGCGATGTCTGCTGAGAAGTCCTTGTATGCCTCGCTGACTTTGAGGACATCTGGGTCTGGCAGCTCCCCCCGCACGGCCTTGTAACGTGTACTCCTTTGAACATGTTTATATGATAATTAGGACTTTAAGAACAATTTTACACTCAGACAACAATCACAAAGTTGTAGCAGGCTACATACAATTACTTAGGACAATAGATATGACCTTACACCGTCAGCAACTGTAAACTGCTTTGGCTTAGTGGAAATGAACACCATGTCACTCACTCTGCCTGGTTTCACACCCTATTAATTACACAAAAGAATTGTCAAATGAATTGAAAAGGTCCTTGATGCAACATACTAAGTCAGCTCTTGGCACAAAGGAAATACTCATTAAACCGTGGATTGGTTGTGAACACATACTGTACTTACCATGGTTCTTGGCTTGTGCCATCGCTGCTCTGTTTCAGTGCAGCTGAGGACAGGGGGAACAGCAGCCAGGTTGAGTGTGGAGTAGTGTGCGGTCTGGAACAGCAGTGCAACATTGTGGTTGCAGAGTGCTGTTCCAGCTACACAGGGACACTTTGCCACTGCAATCTCCACAGGTGAACAGTTCTTAAAATAAAATGTCATTTTACATTTAGGACACTGCTTCAATACAACACAGACAAATGAGAAAGCTGAGAGCAGGCTGATCAGGCAAGTAGTAGGTGTGGGAAAAGGCTAAACCATGTCAGGTTGTCAGTCACATCACATACACAGAAGTTCTGCTGTTTGGAATACTGTAATTTAAGGACATTCAAACAGATACGCTTGTATAGCCTGTCTCAGCTCTCTCAATTTATTATCTTATAACTACATCAAATAGTGTTAGTAGAACGTTGAACAGCTTAACATAGATGTAGGGTACAAAACCAGCACTTACCTAACACTGGCCAATACAAATGGACCCTACATGGATTATACTAACCATTCAGTAAAGAACAGCAGCTGTCACAACCAGTTTCTGGGGTTTCATTAAGAATCTTTGATGAAAGCTAAGTTTGGGTTTAGCTAATGTATTTATCATTTTACACGAGAGGGTTACAAAACGAAAATAAATCTGTAGCCCCTTCATGCTACACACACATAGCTAGCTACAGTACCAGTTGATGTGAGCACATGTATGTATGTATCTATGTAATCTGTTGCAACACGTCAGCTAGCTGGGCTTATTTGAATCCTAAATCACAGGTTACCTACTCTTGCCACATCAAAACCCCAGAACATGAACCTGATTGAGGCTTTGAACCGATGAACACTTTTTATTTTCCTCCCTACTCTGAGATCCTGAGGCTTTTCATGCTTTCTCATGGACCTGTAACAGCTAGCCCTGATGCTCACTCTCCCTGAAGGTAGATCTTTGTTTGAAACTGTGGGGAATTGGATATCATTCATGTTATCCAAAAAAACGTAATAGTACATCATTAAAACGCTTTACACTGTATCTGTCAAGTTGTCAAAGTTAGCCACTACAGCTTTGTTTGTCACTTACCTTCATAATTGTCGACGTAGCTGGATATGTAGCTACATCTTGAACCCCTTTTCTCTTTTGCTCCTCGGGGCTGAGCCTGCCGCTTGTACCAGCCGATGTACCTCACTGATGTTAACCTTCGGTAGGTCTTGGAGACATCGAGTGTAAAATAGTGCCTATATAATATCTATACGCTATCTCTCTCGCTATCTATACGCTATCTATCGCTCTTCCCTCTACCGCTCTACTGTAGACCGGAAGTTTACAACCGCACACCCAGCCGCCGGAAGTTGATAGACGCCATCTTGTGCAACTAGCCCATTAATGTATTGATTATAGGTCCGGGTCCGTATAGGTCAGCGCCTGGGTCCGGATCCGGACAATAATCATGATATAATTAAGGCAAATATTATGAATGGGTCATGTATATGTAAATGTTTCCTTTTCCTTAAGGCAAAATATGTATGAAGCTATGATGAGATTAGAGTGGTTGGATGGTGTTCAGAGGGGGTCCACATACAACATACAGTATAAACATCTCTCTCACAGACAAACACACGTACACCTCATTTATGAACTTACCAGAATGGGAAGATGATCAGGCGTGTTACCATAAACACGATGGCAAACACAACGAAAATACTTTGGCAGGTTTTCTCCCATTTGGCATAGTTGAATACTTTCGCAGACTAGACAAAAAAAAATTGTATTGTTAGTACACCACTTATTAAAACACACTTTGAAATGAATCTATTTGTATGTTCTACATTCATATTGAATGATTCTGCAAACACCAATATATAGAGAATCAGGAAGTCATTATTTGGAGAGAGGTGAGGGATGGGTGTTGCAGGCAATCCAGTTAGCAAGGTGAGTACTATGGGGCTGAATCCTACACAATTCATCTTCATTATCAAACTCCACCTGTCCACCAGAAGATCTCTGACTTTCTCCATTCTAGTCATCTCAACTAAGATGGCGCTGCAGATAGCCCCTTCGGTGTATTAGTACACTTTGTTTTGTGCGTTAATTCAGTGTTTATACAGTACACCAAACTCTTTCACCAAGGACGAGCTCCTAAACATTAGAGAAACAACTTCAGCGGATTACTTTCTCACTTTTCTCTCTTCTTCCGTGGAATTATCGGACATTCTTGTAAAAGGTGCCCTCACCTGCATCCGTGCAACGAAACGCCACAGGAGAGGGAAACGAGCCGGGACGCTCGTTCGCCTCCGGAGCTGCGGACTTTGCACGCCGCTACCCGGAATATTTCTCTCTAATGTGCGTTCAATCAAAAACAAACCTGACGAGATTCAGCTACTGGTTAGTAGAAACAGAGACTTTTCTTCATCTTGTGTTTTGTGCTTCACTGAGAGCTGGTTGTGTGGATCGATCCCAGACTCAGCGCTGCAGCTTCCAGGCTTCCAGCTGTTCAGAGCGGATCGAGACATGGAGCTCTTTGGCAAATCAAAAGGTGGAGGAATATGTTTTTACACTAACAGTGGCTGGTGCAACGATGTGACAGTGATTCTGCAGCACTGTTCTCCCACTCTGGAAACTTTTATCATCAACTGCAAACCCTGTCACGATCTTGGTGTTATGTCACGGTTTTAGTGCTGTCTGTCTGGTAATGGGTTTTGTTTTGCTGTTCTGTTCTCCCTGTCTCTTGTTTTCCTCCTGTGTCTGATTGTCTCATTGTGTTCACCTGTTGCCCTTGTGTTTCTGCCTCCCTTACCCAGCTGTTTCTCGTCCCGTGATTACCCCTCTCTGTATTTAGTCTTGTCTTTCCCTATGTTCCCCTGTCAGTTCATTGTTGGTGTTTCCTGTCTCCCTCAATGTCAGTCACGGTCAGCTTTTTGGTGAAGTATTTTCCTTGTGTTACTATGTTATCCATGCCATGTTTTTTGATCTTCAGCTTTGAAAATAAAGCTCGCCTTTTGTTTATAGACCTCTTACCTTTTTGTAGTCTGCATTTGGGTCCTACCTTTTCCGCGATCATAACAGAATGAACCGATCAACTATGGACCCAGCGGATTTTTATGATTTTGACTTGGATCTGTTCGATCTGGATTTCTCCCTTCAGTGTTATCATGCAGAGTGGAGTGGAACCTCGTCTAGAAGGGACAAAGAAGCTATCCTCAAAAAGGCACAAATGGAGGTGGCCAACATGCCTTGGTTGAGGAACTCGTTGCCTGAATGGCTCAGAGTTTTTTCACGTAGCCCTGAGTGCCAGTCTCCATTTTCTGACCCTTTCTTGGGATCCCGCCTGGCGTTTGGAGGTCCACGGAGTCTCCAAAATACCTCTAAAAGACGCAAGGTCAGGAGGCCAGCTCGTGCTCCAGTACCGGCCCACACAGCCATGGTTCCGTGCTCCAGTGCCGGCCCATACAGCCATGGTACCGTGCTCCAGTAACATCCCACACAGCCATGGTTCCGTGCTCCAGTGCCGGCCCATATAGCCATGGTACCGTGCTCCAGTAACATCCCACACAGCCATGGTTCCGTGTTCCGGTTCCGTGCCGGGCAGCCTTGGTCCCTGCTCCAGTACCGGCCCACACAGCCATGGTTCCGGCTCCAGAACTGGCCCACACAGCCATGGTCCAGGCTTCTGTTCCGGTCCCAGCAGCCATGGTCCCTGCTCCAGTACCGGCCCACACAGCCATGGTTCTGGCTCCAGAACCGGCCCACACAGCCATTTTCCAGGCTTCTGTTCCGGTCCAAGCTGCCATGGTCCCAGCTCCAGTTCCGGTCCCAGCAGCCATGGTTCCGGCTCCAGTTCCAGCCTTGGTTCCGACTCCGGTTGCAGTTCCGGTACTGGCTCTTCGGCTGACGCCAGCAACCAGTGTCCTGTCGGCGTACCGGCTGACTCCAGCTCCCCGTCTCCGGTTGGCTCTCTGGCCGAAGCCAACCCCCCGTGTCCTGTCGGCGTACCGGCCGACTCCAGCACCTCGTCTCCTGTTGGCTCTCCGGCCGACGCCAGCCCCCCATGTCCTGTCGGCGTACCGGCCGACTCCAGTACCTCGTCTCCGGTTGGCTCTCCGGCCGACGCCAACCCCCCGTGTCCTGTCGGCGTACCTACCGACTCAAGTCCCTTTTCGAGTCCCCTCTCAAGTCTCTTTGAGTCCCTTCTCGAATCCCCTCTCGAGTTCCTTTCCAAGTCCCTCCTCAAGTCCCCTCTCGAGTCTCTTCTCGAGTTCCCTCTCAAGTTCCTTTCCAAGTCCCTCCTCAAGTCCCCTCTCGAGTCCCCTCTCAAGTCCCTTCTCGAATCCTCTCTCGAGACACCTCTCGAGTTCCCTCTCAAGTCACCTCTCGAGTCTCTTCTCGAGTTCCCTCTCAAGACCCCTCTCAAGTCCCTTCTCGAGCCCCCTCTCAAGTCCCTTCTCGAGTCCCCTCTCAAGTCACCTCTCGAGTTCCCTCCCAAGTCCCCTCTCGAGTCCTCTCTTAAGTCCCTTCTTGAATCTCCTCTCAAGTCACCTCTCGAGTTCCCTCTCAAGTCTCCTCGAGTTCTTTCTCAAGTTCCTCGCTCCTCGCTCCTCTGTATCACCGGAAGTTGATTTGTCTGCGCCATCTTGAGTACCGTCCCATGGCGCTTATTTCTGCCGGAGGACCGAGGAGCGATAATGGAGGAGCGATAACCGAGGAACCACCAGGCCATCCTCCGATGAAATCCACAGATACTCGCCCCGCCCCCTTACTGTGTATCGCTCACTGATTGGACGATGCAGCGCATGCACTGATCTGATGCTTCTTGACATGAGAGCAGTTTCCCAGCGGAGTGAAGAAAATACATGAACCTCACGGGAATCACTCCTCAGTTTATACCGTGTTTTGTTTCAATTCATGTTTCATTTAGTTACAAACATGTGATATATCTGAACAACAAAGTGGTCAAAAATCATTTTATTCATTTATTGGAAACATTTTCATAATAATAATAAATGTAAAACAGGTATGAAATACCTTATGACAGTAAAACAAGAATACAGTTTAAAAGGGGAGTGATTTGTAAAATATCCATAAAGAAAAAGTAAATCTGTTTACAGTTCTGTTTCATATGGGTGTTGAGAGATGTATCCATAGATCTCTTCATGTTGCTCTCAAAGTGCACCAGATTGATGCTTTTAACTTCAATATTTAAAAAAAAATCTTCCCGGGGGAGCATGTCCCCGGACCCCCCTAGAGGACGCCCCCCACTTGTAAAAAATAGCACTCTACCCCTGCTTACACCTATATGCCGTGAGCTGATTATCGAGCCTTCATTGTAACAGTCGCGGGTGTACTGTGTATGTGTGTGTGGGGAGTGTTGCATTAGAAACTTCCACTGTAGCGCCCGGTACATTAATGGGAAACCCTACATGTTTGAGCACCCTCTATGAAACGTCAAGCTACCACACAGCACCCCCAAAAGAAAATCTCTGGCACCGCTATTGTGGGCTAAGCCCCTAATGTTTCCAAGGCCCGGCCCCCCCACTAACACTTTACGCAGACTCTATATGCATTACATTACTGCACACAATGTTTAAATATTGCTTACTGCACATATTTTATATTCTATAATTTATTGCATTCTATTTCGATGTAAATTACTGCTTATTTTATTGCTATCTTACTATATTTAAATTTGTATTACAGTGTTCGTAATATAGTTCGCTATCTGTGTACTTTTTTAGATCTTTGTTTTTTATTTTTATGTATTGACACCTAGTAAAATTTCTCGTACGTGTGAACCTACCTGGCAATAAACCCGTTTCTGATTCTGAATAACCAACTAAGATACAATCTGAAAGTACAAAAGTACAGTATTTGAGTATATTTACATTAACTTTAAAAAGCACATAGGAGGAAGATTAGGAACTGCAGAGAACCGAGCTAAGAGTTATCTGAGTACAAATAATATATATATATTCATTTACTACGGTCTGTTGACTGCCTCAGAGTTAAAATGCTCCCTCTGTAACTTTAAAGTAGACGTAGAGTAGCCGTGACTAGGCCGTGCGAAGCTACATCGGTGCTTTCGTCAAGCGGAAGTAGGCGTGGCTAAATCTAAACTTGGTTGGAAAAACGATAGAAACCGCCCGGCCTCCTGGCCATGATTTAACATGTCAACCAGGATATTTCACTGACCCTCATCAGGTATATAAGCAGCCTAACCCACCTCCTATCTGAAATTGTTCAGCCTAACCACAATATAACCTTAACCATAGTTTTCATGCACTAAATGTTTAAAAAGATGACTGACAGTAAACATAATCAGAGAGTGTGCAGGATCTTCCAGCATCAACAGGTTGTTGGGCTGTTTGAACCTGTGTGACTGACCTCCAGTAGAACATCAGAGGCATCATGGATGAGCATGACCAACGTTCCTATCCGGATGTAGTTGGCACACCAGGAGAATGATAGCAGTACCAGTGTAGCCAGGTGGTGGATGATCTGCTCCTTAAAGTCCTACAGGAGGAAGAGAAACACAGTCAACCTACCAACAACCCAGTAGTCTCTACCAGACTAATACACAGCTTTCCCATTAGCACCATTTTGAGGATGGATGTTATTTTCATCTTACTACATTTAAAAAATGTCTTAGAGTCTAACCAGTCTTGGGACTAACTCTTATTAAAAGTACGTTTTTATTGCTAAATCACATATTTTTTTGTGGCCAAGTAGCAAATATTTCAAACGCTAGCTAGGCTCTTTTGGGACACATTGTTGTGTCGTTTTCCGATGAACATGATGGTGTGAAGTCACAGGTCTACTTCTCTCAGGCTTATTTTAGGGAGGATAATGATTTAAAATAATTAGCATGCTTTTTTGGGGAGAGTTACATTATGGGTTGAAAAAGCCTTTAATAGAACACTTTTTTTAACTTTTTTACTAAATGTAGTACAGACGAGTTTGTGAATATACTGTGTTTTATTCCTTTTATTGGGAATAAAAGCTGAATATTTAAACATCAATAATTCAGGAGATTTAATTAAGTGTAAATGTTAGCTTGTGAAAACCACAACTCACCTTTCTCTTAACATCAAAGGCAACGCGTAAGAGGAGTGAGCCGTAGAAGCTCATCTCCAGGATGTAATACCAGTACTGAGACTGCAGCATGGACTGAACACACACAGAAACAGAGGCAGAGCATGTAACATGAAGCCAGAGTGAATCTCAGTCACACAGTACACACTAATGTCCCTCAGGGCTCCGCTCTTTGTCCTAACTCCTTTATCTGGCAGGAGGAAACTTTAGAGGAGACTATTGTTCACTCACCTCCATTTTAAAAGCTAAGAACAGACTGAAATGTGAGCTACAGTAGGGGATCATATATTCTCCAATCACAGTGTGTAAGGCCGGGCTGCATCATTGTATTTGTAATGAATGTGCCTTTTAAATAATAACCTGTAAAGCCTCATGTATATTCCTTCCATTAGTACAGCTTTAATAAAAACAAGTCATAGGTGTTGCTTCCTTGTAACACAAAGACAATAAGCATGTCAAACATTTATATTTATTATTACCTTTATGTTTCAATTCTTTGGTAGTAGCATTTGTTTTATTGATTGGTTTCGGGATGTATTTCAACAAATATAACAAAGACTAATCTAAAATAAGTTGCCCACCCTAACTTTAATATGATGACTATGGCGTATAAAAACCATACAAACCTGCTTTGGGAAACCTTCCCATACTTCCCGGGTGTCATAAAACCATTCTTTCTGCAAAACCATGGGGAGAGAATTTTTTTGTGTTAGTACAGCTACAGATATAGAATTTTATGGAATACACAGAGCCACACCCAAACAGCTGCTAGTGACTTTAACATTCAACCTCAGCTATCTAAAGTTTCTATTCACAGTAAAATCATGCTACTGGCTGAGATGGAGTCATTTTTATTTTTATTTCAGGTACTCACATCGTACAGAGCTATCAGTCCTCCAATGAACGCCGATATGTAGAAGACAAACCTCCAGCTGTAGGAAGCAAAGGGGAGAGATGTATGGACAATGGCTATTTGAGGTATTCCTTTATTATACTATTATCAGTACACACACACACACAGTGACGAAGATGGGCCACACACGCACACACACACACACACACACACACACACACACACACACACACACACACACACACACACACACACACCACACACACACACACACACACACACACACACACACACACAGTATTGACCTGGCCTCTCTGAACTTCTTCAGGACTCCAGGAAGGTCCTGACTGCGTCTCCTCCTGAACCAACGTTCAACCTGTCTCACTGACAAACTGCTTTTCTTAGACAGTCCATCGATGTCTGCCTGGAAAGATGACACGCACACACACAAACACACACAGGTAAAATAAAAATGTTCTGTATTAATGAATGCAGTAATAAGCAATATTTGTAAATCAACTGAAGCAACAGGGACAGTTGAGTTGAGTTGAGGACTCTTGTTGGTGTGGTTGTTGCAGATATGTGCAGTTAACCCAGCATTTTGCTTGATGACCCGTCAAATCAAAAGTGCGAGAGGCTGTTAGCTGCATAAATTACTTCCAGCAACAAATCATTTCCTTAATGGTATTGCAATAGTGAGAGTTGCAGTTTAATGGCATTAATATCATTTTATATAATATATATTCATCTATACCAAAGCAACCTCTTAATCCAGATATTTGACCATGACTCGCGTATGCATGCACGTGCACAGTTGTGGCATGACCACCAAAACAGAAAGATATGGACACAAGATGTGTGAAGCTCCGTTAGAACTGCACCCCTGTCAGACGAGACATATACCACGTGATGACACTAGGCTCGTGTTGTGTTCAAGGACTCTGACCTTGGCCAGGAAAAACAGGCACTCGCTTGTTTAATTATTTTGCGGTCTAGATTTAAAAAAAAAAAATCTTTTTTGCGTGTGTTTATAAATTACCTCGAGGGCCGTACCAAATGGTCTCGCGGTCCGTATACAGGCCGGAGGTTCCCCACCCCTGATCTATACTGACCCTTTCTGTAATAAACAGGCAGCAGTCACTTATTGTTTCTGTCACAAACTTCGTATAGGACTCAAATGCACGACCCGGGTAAAGTATGAGAAAAATACTTTAGTCCAAAATAGTTCACACAAAAAAATCGACACTTGACGAGGTGAAAAAAGTTTCAAAAGGCAACAAAAGAAAATCACTCACTAAGTGAGGAACACAACTTACTAAATAACTCAGGAGCATGAATCAGGCTTGAGACATGAAAAAGTAATCGCTGGTAAGCTGACTACTGGCATGGAGACAGGACAAGAGGAACTGACACAAGGGAAGGGCACAGGTAGAAACAATCAGGGCGCTGATGAGAGCAGGCACACACACACAATGATAGGGAGTCAAGGGACCTGAGGGCTGTACGACGAAGCTGGTTCAACCTAACCTGGATATGTTTGAGTTAGCAGGTTGGCCTAATCCAAAACATACGCGCTCTCGCTAAGCGGTCCTACGACGCGGGTTATCAAGTGGATCGCTCAAGCCAGCCGTGTCCTATCTAGTTAGGTGCGCGTTCACATGAAAGGGGTAGTATCTGGAGCATTCGACCAATCACAAACATGGAGAAGCATACTGACAGCGCAGCGTCATACTTCCTGAATGAAAAGTGAACTTTAATATTAGACATATGAAGAAGTTAAACTTTAAACATCCATGACTTAAACACTTGATCCAGGATCAAAGCCACAGAGCTGCACCTGCAAGGTGAATACAGCTGGGAACAGAACAAGTGTTTGAATGCGTACATTAACAGGTTTATGATATCACCCCGTCTAACACACGAGTGGATCTGACTTTAATTACATTTGACTCCAGTGTTTCGACAACTTAATGTGTTTTAAGTGGTTTAATTAGTCATGTCAGCAAAACCAGCGGGTATTTCACTTTGGTTGTTCACTATAAATAGTATATATAGTATGATAGTCACTCACAAAGGTTGTGCCACTCGATTGTTCCCCCTCAAAAACAATCTCCAGTGTTGTATATTCTACTCGTAGTGCATTTTTACATTTGATGAATTTTCAAAAATGGGTTGTTTTTTGTTGTGTTTTCTGTAGTTCTGTCCTGCATTTCTGTATTTGGTTATGTTGATTTGCATTGAGTGTCTGTTTCGGGTTGTGTTTTCTCTATGTGCTGTGTTTTCTCTAAATGCAGTAAAATACTTTTTCCGCTAAGTGAAAATGTATTCTTATTTTCCTTGTGTTATTGTAACCTGCAGTGCTGTACAGGGCACATACTCTATTGGAGAGAACTGTGTTTACCTGAACAGGATTTCTACTCTGAGAGATGTAGTAATGTTCCAGGATGGGGTTGTCCTCTGCTTTCAGACGCACTCTCTGTCTGATCCCAGCAGACACTGCCAGTGGTGTTGCTATCAAGCTGGAACACACACACACACACACACACACACACACACACACACACACACACACACACACACACACACACACACACACACACACACACACACACACACACACACACACACACACACACACACACACACACACACACACACACACACACACACACACACACACACACACACACACACACACACACACACACACACACACACACACACACACACACACACACACACACACACACACACAGGGTTTAATTCTAAGCAGGTCAGATTCAGCAGAGGACATACAGAAAATCTTGTTTGATGATGATACGTTTTATATATAAGTGCATTGGAACAGCCTGCATTATTTACAATTGATTTAATAAATATGATTATTAGTAGCGGTCAGTTAAAGTGCTGCCAAAGATTGATTGTGGTGGTTGTATTCTCCAGCCACCTCCCTTGTGTGTGTTTTCCCTTCCCCTGTCTGTGTGGGCGTGGTGGCTGTCACTCCTGGCTCCCAGCTCAACCTCCACCTGCTGCAATCAGTTGGGCACCCTCCTCTGCTACACACCTGATTTCCATCAGCCATTACTAATGGCATATCAGCGGAGGCTCCACAACCTGTCAGCGCCAGATCGTTGTTTAAACCCCAGTGGTAAAACTCTCAGCCTTCTCAGCCTTCTTAGAATTAGTTAGCTATTTCCGCTACACTTGAATGTTCTTCTTACCTGTTCTTCTTGTGCTCCAGGATTACTCTCCAGCCGAATTACTCTCCACGCTCCTCCACCTCAACAGCCGCTAGCAACCGGATTACTCTCCACGCTCCTCCACCTCAACAGCCGCCAGCAACCGGATTACTCTCCACGCTCCTTCTCCTCAAAATAAAACCTTTGTAACACTCTGCCGTGTCCTGCGTTTGGGTCCTCTCAGATAACCGTAACATTGATACTATATGTATAAGGGCCATTCTAAAAAAAATACCCAAGGCATTAGTCAAATGTTTATGAGCTTAATATTCACCTAATCATCATCTATACCTCTATTCAGGGGAGGACTGGGACTAAAATTCAGCCCTGGAAACTGACCCAGTCCGGCCACATGAAATGTCAAATGTTAGAAATCCGCTGTTTATTATTTAAAGTTTTACGTCCGATTCACTCCTTTTTTCCTCTCTGTACACAGCTCCAGTTTGATCATTGGCCTGTCATCAGATTGCATTTTTAGTTGCTGCTGTAGTAGCGGAAGTTTAGTAAAATTATTTTTGATGAAATACTCAAAATCTCCACCCTCCATAATTGCACTTGCTTCAGTTGCTTGCTACTTTTTAAGGGCAGTGATGACAGTTACAATACGAACTGAAGTTGATGCGATTTGATTGGATTGTGAGGCATGACGTAAGCCTCATCTGATTGGTCAATCCCTCAATTTTTTTCACCAAGGGAAGCCAATTTTGGCTGGCCTCCTCTCGCAACAGAGAGTGCAATCTACTGTTTCACCATAACATCTAGAGGGTCGCTGTTTCACTCTTTGTAAAATACTCAATGAGAATGGGGGAGAGACGGGCCGGCAGAATAATTACCGAAACTAAACACAGTGTTTTTATTTATTTATTAAAATGATAACTACAATCCAAAAAAACAGGGGAAGCCTGACTTCCCTTGGCCTCCAGGAGAAAGCGCCACTGAGTTCAAGGGATAATTCTCACCCACCTCTTGCTCTTGCCCTGCACTTGTATGTGCCAGTTGAGATGGTTCTTCCACCAGCTCAACTCTGTGTCCCTCATCATGAACGCAGGAGGCTGGCTGTATATCTGAACTCACGCCCTCATCATTCTCTTCATCATCTTGCTCTTGTTCTAAGTTGCTGCTGATAGTGCTTGTAGCAGCGCTGCTGCCAAAAAGGTCAGTCAATTTGCGACATGTATATGCTCCACCTGCGAGTGACTTCACCTTTTTTTCTCTTGCCTTCTCGGCCCACCTTTTTCTTTTCGTTTTCTTTGATTTTTATCCATGTTTTTTCATTCTCCCTGTCTGCCGCGGCGTCTAATCCCTTCTCTTCGTGTGGCCGGTCTTTATTCTTCTTCGTGTGTGATTATTTGACAGATAAGAACCACACAACTGCATTAGCGGCCACTGTCGCCCTCTGTCGGCCGTCAGCGCAATTTAAATGATGACGTTAAACCTTTTTTTCTTTTAAAGTGCCGGCCGTCAACGGCCCTTGACGACCGGCCGTTCTGTGGTTCTCCAGATTCTACAGATGGCCAGTCCGCCCCTGCCTCTATTGGTAAGTTGCTGTCCCAAACCTTATCCCCAATTTTAATTCATAAAAATAACATTTATATTATTTCTAAATAACCCCTTTTTTTTAACCAGGACATCACTCTGCATCCCTGCCCCTCGTAACTGCATGGCGATTAATACAATCCCATCATTTTTAAGTAAATGTTTTCCAAGGTAGAAAAAATCGTCACTTAGGAAATAAATTGTAAAGATTCAGAAGTAAGTCATAGTTTTAGTAGTGACAAAATGGAAGGTTCAATCATCTTTTGTAAGGCAATGACCATGCTTACAGCAATGTTTTTTATAATTATTATTCATTTATAGTTGCATTTTATTGAGAATATTGAGGATACAGACACAGAGGGAGTGATAAGCTCACTAATGCCCCTTTCACACCAACGCGGTTCCAGGGCCGGTTCGGAGCTAGAGCCTGAAATGTTTTTTCCTGTTCACACCGCAGCGGAGCCGCCTCTAAGCTCCGGAATCCGGTTCGTTTCAAGCACCAAAAGATTGTCGGTCTAGAAGCAAGAACCGCATACGTCACGCTTATGTCGGAGGGGGGCGAGATTAACCTGAGCTAACAGTTAAAGGTGAGTATGGCAAATACAAGTTGTAACAAGCAGTAGTGCTGAGCAAAGTCACTAGAACGCAACCACACACTTGTGAAAAAAAAAACACACTTTATAAAGTCAGGCAACACTAACCAGGCAACGCTTCTAAGCTCCGGAAGTCTTTGAGTCTGTTTATTTGTACCTTACTTTGACCATCCGTTCGCTGTTATTGATCATTGTGGAGAGAGGCAGACGTTTTGTTTTGTATTATAGCAGCTATCAGATGGAATCAACACATGGGCTGCACAGGTTGTCATGTCTGACTATCACAAGTAGAATCATAATGAAAAATACGCCGGTAAAATGTGCCTGTAGAAAACGGCTTATGCCACAATAGGATAGCAACAAGTAGTCAAGTTATAGTCAGTTTGGCTTCGGTTGCTATGCTAACATCATCCATTTTATACCAAATAAACTTTCATAACAGCGTTGTGATGCCAAACAGCGTCAATTCATACTGACACACATTCACTTATGGGGAATTGGGGATATTTATTAGCTGCTTGTGTGACAGTGAATACTTTACAGCGGCCGCTGCTGTGAGTTAACGGGAGAATAAACTCCGGTGGAAGAGCAGCACTGCAGCGGTCGGTAAATGCCGCTGTAACACATTAATAAACAATGAACCACGGCACTCTGGAGAAAAGTATAAGGTTAGAGAAGTCGTTATTTAACTTAATCTGGCTTCGTGTGATTAAAAGCAACACGATCATCGACCCGACGCAGTCTCCCATTGTTGTTGTTAGCGCCGTTGGGGAGAAAATCAGCGACGTAAACTGTGACGTCATGACGCAGCAGCGGCAGCACCAGTCGGACTCTGGGCGGTGTGAACAAAACGGGGGCTGAAAAGAAGAACCGGTTCCGAACCAGAAAAGCTCTAGCACGGACCTAGAACGGGAACTGTGTTGGTGTGAAAGGGGCATAAGTAGTAAAGCACCAATAATGTATAAGGAAGGAAAGAGGAAAATAGCTGTTTTTACTTTAGAACTGTACATAATGGTTATATACTCCAAATGGACAAAGACAGTTTTCAAAAGGTTTCCAACTGTGCCTTTGAACCAATTATGTGGAATAGCTGGGTACCGAGTTTAAACAACATCAAATTGAAAAATTTTAACAGTAGAATAATACATATTCTATGATCTAGCTAGCAAATACCTCTACGGCACCTGCCCTTTTGTTTTAGACAGGGCAGATGTGTGCAAATCCTTTAAAGGGGTTAACCCACACAAGGCTCCTGGACCTGATGGCATCCCTGGCCGTGTTCTCAGGGTGTGTGCAGTTCAGCTGGCAGAGGTGTTCACAGACATCTTCAACAGGTCCCTGCTGCAGTCTGTTATCCCCACATGCTTCAAACACTCCACCATCGTTCCTGTCCCCAAAAAGTCAAAAATCACCAGCCTCAATGACTACCGCCCAGTAGCACTCACCTCCATCATCATGAAGTGCTTTGAGCGGTTAGTCAAATCATTCATCACCTCCTCCCTCCCTGACTCTCTGGACCCCCTGCAGTTTGCCTACAGAGCAAACAGGTCCACAGACGACGCCATAGCCCTCTCACACCTGGACCAGAGGAACACATACAGTGGGGCAAAAAAGTATTTAGTCAGCCACCAATTGCGCAAGTTCTCCCACTTAAAAAGATGAGAGAGGCCTGTAATTGTCATCCTAGGTATACCTCAACTATGAGAGACAGAATGAGGAAAAAAAATCCAGAAAATCACATTGTCTGATTTTTAAAGAATTTATTTGCAAATGATGGTGGAAAATAAGTATTTGGTCAATAACAAAAGTTCATCTCAATACTTTGTTATATACCCTTTGTTGGCAATGACAGAGGTCAAACGTTTTCTGTAAGTCTTCACAAGGTTTTCACACACTGTTGCTGGTATTTTGGCCCATTCCTCCATGCAGATCTCCTCTAGAGCAGTGATGCTTTGGGGCTGTTGCTGGGCAACACAGACTTTCAACTCCCTCCAAAGATTTAATATGGGGTTGAGATCTGGAGACTGGCTAGGCCACTCCAGGACCTTGAAATGCTTCTTACGAAGCCACTCCTTCGTTGCCCGGGCGGTGTGTTTGGGATCATTGTCATGCTGAAAGACCCAGCCACGTTTCATCTTCAATGCCCTTGAT